TTGGGAGAGTAGAAATGTCCCCTGGGGGTTGAGTGTTGACTAGGATGGATACTGTACTAGTAGGCATTGAGGAGGGGGTAGTAGTTGTAGTGTTCGGAGCCGTGGTCAAAGGAGAGCCTGGGGTCAGGGAATCGGGAGAGTTGGAATTGGAGGGGCTATTTGATGAAGGGGCAAGCCTCATTGCTCCTAATAGTGGAATTGCATCTTCATTGTTGGCCATGGTAAGCCTGGAGTATGTTGGGGAGAGAAAAAGTTACCCCTCAGGGTCCCCTTGAGGGGTAAGGGCTAGATAACTAAATCAGGGGAATACCGTGCCCATGGTTCCCTCAGGCCGTTCAGGACTGGCACAAAGTCAGCCTTTCATCCTTTCAGCACGGCTCTCACACCTTAGGAGGTACATTGAGCTTTGTAATGTTCATGCAGATTTTGTGTATCAAAGGGTGTACGTGCGTGTGATTAGTCATGTGTGCTTGCGTGATTTTAGGTTGCAGTGGTTTTGAGAAATCTAAAAAAATATAAAGTTTCCCTCAAAGCTTTAGCCCCAAATATGGTGGAAGTAAATATTTTAAGTATTATTGGATGGTAAGTTTAGTTCTGATCTCATGTTCACCATCCTTGGTGTTTTCGGGGCGCCGATGAAAATCTTCATAGCTTCATTTTGCACTACCTCCAAGCTATTTATTTCTGATGCACTGCAACAAGTACAGTGTATGGTAGTCTACAACTGACCTTATAAAAGCCAAGTAAAACAGACTAGCAAGCTTAACTAGTCTTGACAAGAACTTTCAATTGGTTTCAATCTCTCCCGGAGTCTCTGCTTTAGAGAAGAGACAGGTCTGCATCATTTACGTTGACCCCGAGATATCTATACTTATGACACACGTCAAGCTCCAGGTCACCTATGCGAAAAGTGGGTAGGGGTATGATACATGGGTTAGACCCATTATTTTCTCAGCGAAGATGACAGGTCCAGGTGTTGTAGTACTCAATGACCACTTTCGTCATGTTCATGGAGAATTTATTAACACCCGTTACTGTGTAATCGTTATACCAGTCATAAATACGTGATTTAAAGTGGTGCTCAAGGTAAGGAGGAATAAAGATTTTAAGCCTATTTGTTTTTTGTAGATTGACTGTTATCAACAGCGTATCTAGTTACTATTGCAAAGTGATCACTGATTAGCTCTGTTGCAAGCATGCCTCTGACGTTTCCATGCACAAGATCCCTTCCTATTACGTAATCTACCCTGCCTCCCGCTACGCGAGTTTCCCTGTCTGTATCATACACGGTCATAGATCTATTGTTCACAAAACTTCGGAACTCTTCGCCATTTTCATTGCGTTGACTGTTTCCAAATGTATAATGTCTGGCATTAAAATCTCCCATGCATATTGTGCCGTGATTCTGAAAGTTGGGCAGTGAATCAGTTTGAAAATTTCTTCACCTTGCGTATACATTGTACAGAGAGAAAAACCCAGAGGCTGTTCGAATATGTAAATGCTGATATTGCACATTATTGTCATCAGACTTCTGCATCAGCTCTAATTCTAGGGGCTGATGTGAAGGGCTCTTGTAAACAGATAACGTTAACATTATTGTTATGAATATAGTAAAGCAAGTCATTAATTCTACGACTGACACCACGTACATTCCATGAGAGAAAAGTAATTGTTTTCTTGTCCCCTATCACAACCTATGATTGACTGATTGGTCAGATCTGCGCTTGATGAAGCCCTTCAGTTTGCACATTTCTTGTACAGCATTACATATCTGCGTTGCATCTTGTTTCCTTACAACGATTCTGCGCGCTTTCCTCATATTGATATTATACATATAATCCGTTCCTGATATCATTTTCTGAGTGATGTCCCACAGTTCGTCCGTTTCCTGTATATCTTCGTCGGCGTTATTTTCACTGTCACTGTCGTCACCGTTTTCAGATGATTCGTCGATGGTATCTTGCATAATAACAATACCATTCGTATTTTCAACATCACTAACATCATTAGAAATCATATTTTCCCTGTCAACTCCCTGATCGCTTTTTATTTCCATAACCATTTTTCTCAATTAAGCAAGCTCTTGTCTGAAGCTTCTTATTTCCTCAACCAATTCCTTGTTTTGTCCATCACTGGTTACTACTATGGCACTGTTTCCTGGGATGGGGAATCCCCCCGGTAGTTGTGGGAATTTCTGTGGGTTGGTGACATCACATGTCACGGGGTGGGGTGTGGCTGGGCTGGGCATCCGCTCCATACAGTGATGATCCTATTTAAGGGCTGTCGATCCTTGTAAATCCTCGGAGCTTTAAAAACACCCGGAAAATGCAGTGCTTCCTCGGTTTCCGCAGCCTTTTTCGGAAACCTGGTAACCAGGTATTCCCCGTATCTTTTGCTTTTGGGCTCTTTGTTCTGAAAAGAAATCCCCGCGAAAGTGCTATTAACCATCAGGGCCACATAGTTTTGTTCCCGTCGTACTTAGACGTGAGAGAGGATGTCCATTTCCCCTGCACCATGTCTATCGGGTCTTCCTGTTGGAGGGGCGGCAGCTGGCTGACATCCCTCATCCACCTGATTTTATCTACGGTACACGTGTCTTTTTCGGTCATGTTGCTAGTGTCAAGCGATGTGATCTTCACTGTATTCCACCTCGTCTGGACGAGTTGGAATCCCTTGTCATCCACACCGTTCATACCCTCATATGAGGGAGGGGGGGGAGGTAGTTGGCAATGTGGGGGCCCCGAACATGGCCCCCTCCACCTCCACGATGGGACAGTGAAGAGGTGGTTGTCCGCTTCTAAGGTGATTAATTCCCTTCGGGCGCGGGGAGGGTGCGAGCGCCAGGTCAAGTGCTGTCACACCAGGGACTCACCAGGGCTCGCCAACGGTCATCCGTACAGCACCCTATTCCTTTGGCACCACACTCACAGTCTGTAACTTTTACTAAACACTGTTTTCTCTAGATGTCCTGACCATAATATTTATCCCCGTAAAATCGTCCAGGATACAGGAGGAATCCTGGTGACGTCCTGTCTTGGCTTAGAACTGTCATCAGCATATGTTAAGTTAAGTTAAGTTAAGTAAGTTTATTTACCACCCTGCTGCTATCTGCTCAGGCGAGGGCAATCATGATTACAGCTTTACATATATCTGTCACAGTACAGTAGTCTGTGACTACTGTAATAGTAGAAGGGTAATATAGAAATATGTCATACATCATACAAAAATAATACGTTAATATGCTCTTGCCACTGTGCTTACATAACACTGTGTTTTTGTTTACGGCAGCTTTACATAGTAAATTTTGGATATAATACAAGTATATCTTCCAGTGTATCAGATGAAATTAAATATTCACATAGTTTTCTATACCTCATGTTAGGTGGTCTGAAAGGCTGTATCACATGACATTCCGATATATAATGCTCAAGCGTTCGCTTGTTTTCTTCGTTACACAGTCTACATTTAGATTCATCTGCACTTCTTGCACCGTGCAGTTGCCAATACATTCTGTAACCTAAACGTATTCTGGCAATAACCACGTCACATTGTCTGGTTCGACTTCGGTGCCACCCATAGGAGGGCTTGCTATCTCTATACTGATCGTAGTGCCTTATGGTACAGCTTTCAGGCCTTTGAGTGTTCGTCAGATCTACTAGTTCTTCCTTATGAGAACTTTTCAATATATGTACAACCCTAGCAAGAGGCATCCCAAGATCTATGTTCACAGTGTCTTTGCTGCAGGCTTCCTTCGCCAATTTGTCAACGTGGTCGTGCTTGCTTATGCCGACATGAGATGGTAGCCATACAAATTGAATGTTGAAATTGCGCTCTATTGCACAAGCTTAATGCAACTTACAATTTCCTCATCGCCACCTGCTTTGAAAGAATTTAGTGTCCGAAGAGCACTCTGAGAGTCACACAAAACTACTCCAGAGCCCCGAGACATTAAGAATTCCGTTGCAAGGAGTATACCTGCCAGCTCCGTTTGTGTAGTGCTGGCCCAATTGTGCACTCTCATATAAACTTGATGTTGTAGTGAGCCATTTTTGTATACAGTACAAGCACAACCAGCTTTGCATCCAGACTGTACGGATCCGTCAACGTAACACTCGTATACATCATCGCCCATAGACTCTGTGTGTTCCTTTACCGTTGCTAATGCAATTTGTTTTAACACGCAGTTATGTACACTGTTTTTTTTGTGGTAGGCACGTAAGGTGCACGATCAATTGTGATTCTTTCCATGGTGGAATGGATCGACCCTGTGGTATTTTACTAATTGGGACATTGAGCTTTGTAATGTTCATGAAAATTTTGTGTATTAGAGGACGCGCGTGTGGTTAGTCACGTCTGCTTGCGTGATTTTGTGCTGCAATTGTTTTTGGAAGTCAGAGATACAAGGTTTCCCTCAGAGCTTTGACCCCAAATATAGTGGAAATGAACATTATTCTATCAGAGATGGATGGTAGGTTAAGTTCTGACCTCATGTTCACTATCCTTGCTGTTCTCTGGGTGCCGAGGATAATCCTCATTGCTTCATTTTGCACTACCTTCAAGCTATTTATTTCTGGTTCCTTGCACTGCAACAAGTGCAGTGCATGGTAGTCTACAACTGATCTTATAAAAGCCAGGTAAAACAGTCTAGCGAGCTTAACATTGATGCCATGTTCTCTTCCAACAAGGACTTTCAACGGTTTTAGTCTCTCCCAGTCTCTTTTTCTGAGAAAGGATCAGGTCTGCATCATTTATGTTCACCCCGAGATATTTATATTTATGACACATGTCAAGCTCTTGGTCACCTATGCGATAAGTGGGTAGGGGTATGATACATGGATTGAGAGCCATTGTTTTCTCAGCGGATATGACTAATCCACACTCATGAGCCCTAGTTGTGAGTTTGTGATAATGAAATATGGTGAAGATGTCCGTAGACTGAAAAATAAACTATGTACTGCCAAATAGCAAAGTGAATACAACAGGATAATAGAAACACATGG